AGATGCGCAACTCTTGACCTCAAAACCCCCGGCCTCGGACAGACAACATACCACAGACGGCCTCCAGGTACTTAAGGTAGAGTGCATCTTTAACCCATTAGTTCTCAAAGCCATAAAGGGGCCGAATCGAATCGGCGTTCAAGGGAAAAACCGGGTTAGCGAACCCAGAGAATATCAATAAAATTCTTCAAATTCTCAATTTAAAAAAAAGAATTGTTTGTTTTTTGTTTGTTTGTTTTTTTTTGCAGAAAAACATTCTTCAACATCTGTTCAATCAGGCCATAATACCGAAACTGGTGGGGGGACACCCGAAATGTCCTACAAAGATCCTCTTTTAAAAAATCCAGTTTTTTCTATGATACTGACCAGACCCGCCAGTAACCATCACATGACAATTACCCGGTAGTTAGTAAAGAATATACTGTTAACCCATCACCTGTCACCTGTCGCCTGTCACCATGGCCGTGTTCGTCAGTTGGTGGTGCCCCACAGGCCTCCCATCCCCCCCCCCGGTCCCTGCTTTGATGTATTATTTTATGAAGTCGTAAACCACTGTCAGATTTTATGTTTTCAATGTATGATGTAGGAGGTCTGCCCTTTTTTCTCTATGCCTCTGCTTCGCCCTGCAGCTAAGCTGTCAACCCATAGAGGAGTGAAAAGTGCAGGGGTCACATTCAGAGCCTCACTGAGGAGTTTTTTCGCTCTGTTTTCCCATGTCTTGACATGATTGCGAACACCTTTACATGACACCAAGCATAATGTACAACAGGGCACGCTGCTCTCCGACAGTCCTTTCTCACGACTATTTACCACGCCGCCACGAAGAGTCTTAGTAAAGGAAAGCTATACAATCTTTTTTTAATATAAGCTTTTCATCATGTTTTACTCATTTCATAACCACAACTTATTGGGTGAAAAATACTTATTATGTCTTGTTTAGAATAATCATTTGCAAACTTGATTAATCGCTGCAACTTGACTGACATCTTACCCTTTCTGTTTGGGAATAACTGTTAAAAGCAATGTACGACGATCAGCCCTGATACCTTCGATAAGTTCAAGCAAATTAATTATCAGACCCAAGTCACAAACCGACTTTGAAAAGTTTTCTGCAGATTTCTGATATTTTCCTTGGTCTTCAATGACCTTGTAACAACCAAAATAATAGAAGCAACATGACAACAAAATCTTTTTGTCTATTTTTCTAGAAAGTTACCATCATCGTAGACGGCTCAAGTCCCCAGCTGCCCCCCCCCTTTCCCCTTTTTTTCTCTTGGGGGTCCATCAAAAAAAGACAAGATATCTATACATGTTATATTGGTGAAAGTTTGTCACTTTCGTCGCCTAAAACTTCCGAACCACTTAACTTTCGAATTTGACAAAAATAACGGTGGTTCGGAATTGTTTAAAGGGTGCAAAGTTTTATTGAGAAGTCTGAAGTCACTGTAATTTAATTTTCAGTTTTTCGTTAGTTTCGTTTAGATCTAATTTTGGGAAAGTCCGTCGCACTGCTTCCACAATGGCTTGATGATCGATAATTCTTTTAGATCCGTTCATCGAACATGTACTCAGTTAGTTTTTTGTTGTAAGTACACATCTCCTGATTTATAACTGAGTTCTTTCCACTTTACATATCTTCCATGCAATAAAACTCTCACCTCGGGACATGGCTTCAACTTCTGAACGGTGCGACACATCTGCTGAACGCATCTCACCATACGATAAACTAGACTGATCCCCCGCCTGCCATAGGCCCTAGACTGCGTCGTTTTCTGCAGCACAAGATGGATCACTCTTCTATTGGAATTACCAAAAAGAGAATCCGCCGTCATTAACACGATAGCGACATCTACATATCTACATCTATACGTACCGTAAAACAGGATGGATTTGCACAAATCAATGATTGCCACCAATTTTGAAGTTTATTAGGAAGCAAAAAGTATTTGCATGTTTCTGACATATTTCCTGGTGAGATTCTAGATCCACAACCAAAAGTGATGATGCCGAGAGATCCCTTTTTGTGCATTTTCTGAAACATAAAAAATGGTGGTGACTTTACACAAGTAGGTCAAACGTACATTGAATTTTAAACCGCATTGGTAGACACGTAAATACCACATGCATTTTAATCAAATAATACCAAAGATGCATTGGTATCTTTTCATTCTTATCATGTATACATCTAAAAAGCAACGTTGTTTAAAAAATATAAATGCTAGATTTAGTACATTACAAATTAAGCGCCCATTTTAAGATACATTGTATTTCAACTCATCTTTCAATAGTAAAATCGAAGATGTTAATCACATCTTTGACAGCAGCCAAACTTCTATTTAGATATAGTAAGCAAGCGAAAGTGAAAATATAGCGGAATGAATATTATTTACATAAACTCATCATAATATAAATTGTTATAAAATACACTTTGTCTTCAGCGGAGAGGACATATTTAGATTCCTAAAACATATTTTGCAGGGTCTCCTCAGTGTGCGATTCCACCCCGTTTTGTTGTAGGATAGTTTTGTAAGGGAATGGGGTATTTTATAAATAAAGAACAGGAGCAATAAAATATTATTCTACAAAAAGGTCTATTTGATAAATAAACAACATGATTTGAACAGCATCAGAAGTGACGTCTGTATCACTGCTATTAGATTTGTTTTAATAAGGGAGTGAACAACAATTTATTAGCTTTCACAATATTTTCCTCCAACCTCAGAAAAACAGGGACAGAGAGAGAGAGAGAAGAGAGAGAGAGAGAGAGAGAGAGAGAGAGAGAGAGACAGACAGACAGACAGACAGACA